AACGATAGACAATGGACGCTGGTTGTAATTGTGTTGGAAATTACCAAAAACAATCTTTAAAGCAACAACGTGTTGTGAAGTATCAATGAGCTTAACCAATTGATGAACCTGTAACGGAACATCAGCATTCTTAAGAGAGTTGGAAGTAATTTCACCAATTCGTAAAAAACCATAGAAGGCTATTGCACACATGGCTTGAAATTGACAACAGTGCAACTGGGAAATGGCCAGCTGAGATGCACCCTCAATAATTCTGTGGAGAATTGGAAGTGTAATTGGCAGTCGACTATCCAAACGAGAACCTAATTTAGTATAGCCTTTGAGCATTTGGATTATGAAAAAGGCTTTCGTAGGATCAGGGAAACTGAGCAATCTGTGAGAGTACCCTAGGGCCGAAACATACGAACTAACTGTTGATGGTGCATAGTTTTTGTCATACATATAAGCAATAAAAAGAGCCAATGTATGGGGTAAGATAGGTAACTCTGTTACAACTGAGTGAAAAATTGCATTTAAAAACTGGTAAAACAACTGCCAGGCTCGCCTATATGTGGGGATGGAAGAAGGCTGGAGGCTAGATTTCGCAAGCATGCCTACTACAGAACCCAGCTCTGAGGCTGCAGATGCAAGGGAACCTCTGTCGGGAAGGGGTCCATATGAACTGGGGCCAGCTGTCTGAAAGTCTGCACATTTTTCAACTTTTTCAAGCCTCCAAAAGAATAGAGTCTAATTCAATGCCCGCAAAAGACATGATGGTGGCCGGACCACAAGTCTTCTCTGGTGCCATTGGGATACCGAGGTAAGAACAGAGAGATAAAAATAAATCTAGCTGTTTCTTACAAAGTTGAGAGGAGGAAGCTACTAAAAGAAAATCATCGAGCAGGTGTAATATATAATCTTTCTTTAACTTATGCCGGGCAATCCATTCCACTGCTGTACTGAATGTTTCGAATGTTAAACACGAAGAAGAACAGCCCATGGGCATGCATCGGTCATAGTAATAGAAACCCCTCCACTGCATACCTAACAGACCATAATCAATTGGGTGAAGTGGGATGATTCGAAAAGCGTTTTTAATGTCTGTCTTAGCCAAAAAACAACCTTGGCCAGCATTCATAATCAGTTTGATAGCTTCGTCGATGGTAGCATATCGAACACTGGTGTGCTCAGGGGATATGCCATCATTAACTGATGAACCTTTAGGAAAGGACAAGTGGTGGATTAACCTAAATTCACCTGGAACTTTCTTTGGTACAATGCCCAAAGGGGATATTCGAAATGGGGACAGTGAAGGGGATAAGAAAGGGCCAGCAAGCCGATGGGCCGCTAACTCCTTCCCAAGTTTAGCATCAACCACTTCAGGATTTTCAAGAGCTGATAACAAATTTGTTGCTGTTTGCGAAGTACGTTCACCCTCAAAGTGTACCGGAAAACCCTTAGTAAAACCTGATAATAAAAACTCAACGGTGGAAGGTGTGTACCCATCAAGAAGAAAAACTAAACTATTAACTTTTATTGGGGTGGGAAGGCTGGCTAAGAAAGGATTTGGCAGCTTGGGGCTGGGAATGGTTGAGTTTGGCCGAGTCACGAAAATTACACTTAGTCACCACGTGCGACCCTTCACACCTATAGCAAAGATGCTTGAAAGCACAACCCGGAGGGCATTTGCGGCCTTTATGAAAACGAAAACAGTAGCCCTTTGGGATGGAATCAGGCTTTGTGCGCTGCGGTGCAGAAAATTGCGGTGGAGAGGTTTTACGCAGAACATTTTGTGACTTAAGCCATAATTCACCATGGATCCTGTCCCATGGCAACAAAGCGCCATGCGCTTGTCTTAAAAAACGAAAATTTTCATCATAGAATTTCCAATTATGACCCCTCACTGCCAAATCCTGTATAATTTCCCCATATGTCATGAGGGCAGGGGCCTCGTGAGGAAATTTCTTTGTGTACACACCCACAGACACATGGAAGCTGCTAATCCAAGCTTCTATAGAAGTAATCTTTTTTGGCTTCGTAACGGGCTCAATACATAAAGAAGGGGCAGTGTCACTCGCTGCATTTTGGACGGTTATTTGATATTGATTATCCAAAACTTGGTTTGTGAGAAGTGAGCCAAAGTCAACATATTCCTGACCCCAAATCTTGGTGCGGAACTTGTCAGATAAGCGAGCGTCGACAGACAAACTAACTGACTGGAATAACTGACCTGGTATGTGGGGGGCAGTTTTGTGGGATGACTGCTGTGGCAGGCCCGTGATGGCAGCAGCTTCCTTTTGCAGGTTACCCTGCACTATATTCCTAGCCAAAGCATCCACTGGGGTAGGAGCTATTTTATCGGCTAAAGGACCAGCTGGGACTTCCTGAAGATCGGATGTCGGAACAGGTGGTGTCGGAGCCGGTGCCAACCGGCGGGAGACTTCATCGGCCACTCTATTTACCAGGGTCTCCATAAACTGACTGGACAACAGGGCTTCCTGCGGTGTTATCTGTGTATGGGACTCTCCATCGGTTACTGGAGTGGCATTGGGGGTTGTACCAGCTGGGGCTCCTCTTGCAGCTCCTGCTGATGCTGCAGTACTTGCCCTGACACTGGCCCGGGGACTAGCACGTGTCCTGGATGGTCCAGCCGCTGGCCTAACTTGACGCTGCCGTGATGTGCGTGTTCTTGCTTTTGGCATGATTCTGCAAAGGGAAAAGAAACATTCGGCAGAAAAAGAAAAAAAAAGAAAATAAAAGGAAAAATTGATAGCCCAAAGTGAAACAGAGGGCAAGACCAAGTGATTGGCATCAAAATACACGTACAGTAAAGTGGCAGGGACAACCATGTCAAGACAATTTGTCGACGAGTTGGCAGCCCTTAAAACGCCAGAAGCTAGCATAACTACATATGACTAGCCCACGAAAACCTCAAGGCAATATAAGACTAGGATAACTACATACCCTAGCCATCATAAGACCAGCATAACTACATATGACTAGCCCACGAAAACCTCAAGGCAATATAAGACTAGGATAACTACATATGACTAGCCAAAGAAAAACAAAGCCTGAGATTACAGACAAAAGGCAATATAAGACTAGGATAACTACATACCCTAGCCATGCATCAAGAGACTAGTATAACTACATATGACTAGCCAAAAATTAACAAAATAAACCCAAAAAGGGAAATGGGGAAAGCGAACCAGGATCAGCTTTGCTCCGACAACATGCTCGCCGCTCTGAGAACAGCGCCGCGATAACTGCGGTAAAGCAAATACTGTCCTGAAGGATTCAAGTGAACCCCATCCGCAACATAAAAGTCCTTGAGGGGGCTGTTAAAGTCGGCGTGAGACCAGCAGAAAACGTTAGTAAATTGCTCCAAAAAAACACTAACATACTGGTTTAAAACCGTACTTTGCTGAAGAAAGGACAAAGCCTGAGGAGAAGCGATGCCACGTGGGATAACGTGACATACGCCGATCACGCGGACAGAATATTCATTGAGTAATAAACTAACAAGATCTTCGATCGCAGATCCAACCACTTCTGGAGGAGCATGAGAGAGATCGCTAGTGCCTATTTCCAAGATTATAACATCTGGAGCCAGGTCCTTGACCATTAGAGGTCATAAGCTCTCAATGAATGCACTGTTCGCCCGCCAATTCCATGCAAACAAACTGAGGCCGTGCCGTGAAGCCTGAAATCGCGAGCCGCTCGGCGATTAAAACCCGAGTTTAAATCGCGCTTAAGCCTCTTCACAAAGGAATGGCCTAAAATAAGAGCTGTAGGAGCAGCGGCTGCCATGAAACGAATTATCCGAAACGAATTACTATCGCGAAAAAACCGACCCGCGATATCACGACGGACGAGAGCACGTGGGAAATTTGTGAACACGCAAAACTTAGACTCTTTGTCTAACTTGTTCTTCTCGAAAAGTCTGTAGTACTTCTCGGCGGTACCTTCTGACATGACATTGAGATACAGCGCTTTTTCGGTAGAGAGTGTGGTGGACTGGTCCCTTGATCCCGGCTTTCTTGAAAATGGAGCTAAGATCCTTGGTCATTTGATTTGACTCTATTTGATTTCCAAACCATGACAAAAACAACGCCTGTTTCCCATCGGACAGTGCAGCAGGAAGTCTAGGTCTCATTTGCTTTATGAAAACATTGATGTAGCTGTACAAGAGCTTTGTTAGTACCACCTGAGCTGGACCATGGGTGTCCATAGTTTTGTGTTTAAGAACTCGAAAAACATATCTTTCGCGTTCAACTCTAGCCCTCTGAAACTCTTCTGCGGTCATAGAGGAAACCACTCCGGCACGATTCAATTCATCGATTGATTTATTTCAACTACTGTATTACCGCCAAGTTCGCCTAAGATGATGACTGCATCACGCGAGGCCTGGTCTAACATCCGCAACAACAAGTTTTTACCTCAAACTTTAAATCTAATTACAGAATAAGGGATACAACTAAATTTTAAAAAGTCACAGAGCAGCTTTGTTCTTATTATTATTATTGATTTTTGTCTGAATAGTCAATTCACAGGAAAAAAAGTGTCAAATGAACACATAAAATTATTGGTTGACTTTTTTGTAATGTCTGTAATAGAGTTCAAAACAAAAACATTGGGAGCCTTTGGTAAAGAAAGGAAAGTTTCTTTTCTGCTGATAATCTAGTACCCTGTGAGGATTTTTTGGACAAATTGTAAATTAAAAACTGTGCAATATAAATTTTGTTAAGGAAATTTGTTTCCAAAAAATTGGTCTCTGAATGTAATACCTGTAACATGGAATTGCCCTTTACAATGTTCCATATACATGTACCTGTACTGAAAGTTACATGTACATCTGATCATCTCTGGGTTCAAAACCCCACCCCCTCCCCTCTTTAAGAGGAAAACGTCAGTGGAAATACTGTTAATTCCAGAGAAGTTGATTTTTTGGTTTTTTTTTTGGTTTTTTTTTTGTGGTGGCCGTAATTAAAAACACACTATCACTAAATGATCAGAAAATCATGAAAGCAAAAGAAATGATGAACTGGTTAGATGAAAGATGTAATGAGATTGATGGTTGGTAAATTAACTGATAACTTTTTTTCTGAGTGTGTAAAATCTACATGAATACTGTTACCTAGGACTAATGGTTTTTGGCATGGTTACCTAATGTTGATATTTTGGGGACATTAAACTCTTAACTTAAACTACTCTGTGTAAGTGATATGACTTGACTCATAACTGTAGAGCTAGAAATCAAATGATAGCTCTGAAAAATGTCAGAAGAGGACTACATTTTGTTCACAAAATTTTGACCACACCCTGGTTTTGATATCAATTATACTGCAGAAGAAAAAAACAATCTTCATTAATACTGATAAAAAAAATTTACTTATTTTTACCATCATCAATATGTCATACCCACAATGAATACCATTCAATTTTTGTTTTGTTCCTTATATGATTTTTAAGGTGGTTTGAGTGACCTAGGAGAGGAACTTAAAGTGTTTGAGTGTTACAACCCTGTCAGTGATTCCTGGATGAGGCAGCCAGACATGCGTCACAGAAGGGCTTACCTAGGACTTGCAACATTAGGTAGCGTCTTGTATGCCGTGGGTAAGTAAACACCAAAGGAAATGGTTAAAAAAGGTATACATATATTTTTTATTGGTAACCAACAATATGGGTGGTAACAAAGAGATATTCCAGGTAATAGCAGTTTGACTTTGTGTACAGTAAAAGATTGCCTCAATATACAATTACATGTGGCTGATTTTTTCAAATTTTTGTTACTGAAAAATTTTACAGCAGATGCTTAGATCACTATAAGATTCCTGTCATTTGATTCTTTTATTGTCTTTACACGTGTGTTCGACCAGTTTCTCTCAACCCTTTAACTCCCATGAGTAGCCAAGACAGAATTTCTCCTTACAATACATTGTGATACAATATATACAATATATATACAATATATTTACAATATATACAATATATTTACAATATATATTTACAATCTATACAATATATTTCTCAATAAAATACAATATCAAGTAGACAGGTGGTGAGAAAAAAGAAAAATAATTAGGGGATTATTAGTTGATCCAATACCAAATTCTCCAAACTAACATCACAAGAACTGTTTGGTAGACAGTAGGGAGAATTACTTATGAGATCTTGGGATTGAAAGGGTTAATTTGAGTAGAGGGAGAGTGAATTAATATTCTTCACATTAAATTCCTTTCAAGAAATACATTTTGAAACCATCCAAGGCATGTTCTTTTAAAATAGTAGAGAATATTCTTTTGACTCCACAATAGCTGATGCTTATTGCTCTACTTCAAGCTAAAATTTTATTTTTGTGAATTTTTATGTTGTGCTCAAAGCAAAGAAAATGAATCAGCATTGACATAAAAATTCTTAAAATTGTTGGCCTTTGCAAGTAAGGTCTTCAGTCCCTTGGTATTTTAAGAACAACCTATATACAGGGGAAAGATGTTTTTTCATCTTGTCACAAGCATGAAACAAAGAACAAATCCTGAGTCCCAATGGGGAATCGAACCTCAATGCTTAAAAACTTTCCATCCCTCTTATTCTATTTACAAACATGAGGCTATTAACATTGCTGATCTTGGTTGTATGCAGGACATGTGTCATGTGAACTTTGTAATAGATCTCACTCACCGCAGAGTCTCCTTGGCTCAGTGGTAGACCATTGGAGCTCAGAATCCTAAGTTCTGAGGTGAACTCAGGATTTCTTCTTTGTCCCACACTCATGGCAAGATGTAAAAACATCTCTCCCTATTTCTTTACCAAGCTCAAAACTTACCATCTCTCTTATTCTATTTACATCCCATTCTTTTTTTTCTAAGCATTGTACAGACCTCACAGGCAGCAAGTAACAGGTCATATTTACTGCTTTGTCAATAGGTGGCTCCAATGAATCAGAAGGAGCCTTGGCTAGTGTCGAAAGGTTTGACCTGGACACAAGTCAATGGACAGAGGTAACACCTATGGACAGCCCAAGGGCTGGGCTGTCAGTAGCAGTTAGCAGTGGATTGTTGTATGTGTTTGGTGGGCGGACAGCTCGTGAGGAGTATTCTCCACCTGTCACTTTAACAGCAGTTGATATGTACGATCCCAAGGAGAAGAAATGGAAACATGTCACAGACTTGTGTTTTAGCCGGTGTGACTTTGGTATTGGAGTTGTCTAACTTTGGAGTGGACTCCAGGGTAGAGAGGAACATGGTCCTTTTGTCACTTTAACAGCAGTCAATGATTGTGATCCCTTAAAAACAATGTCTTGAGGAGGGAGACAGCCAAGAAAAATTCTCTTCTGCCATTTTTTTCCAAATGTTGTTTTACAGATGAACTGTAGACATACAATTCATACAGTTATTGCTTGACCAATAACCTCCATCAGGAAGATTGCACCATATAGAAATTGTATATTTCTAGTCGTTCAGTTTCAATTATTGTCTGATAGCAATGTGATGCAAATCTAAAATGGCTCATAGAGACTGCAGTGAAAAAAGATTCATAAAATGTTTCATGATTACTTTCGGGTTCATAATAACATTTATTTCCCATGGTGAATGTTTTTTTTTATTTCTTTACTTTTAAATCTATCTTTCTCTTCTTTTTGACGGAAAAGGAGTGTTCAGAAAGCAATACAGTAATTTTGTAAGCTGAGAGTATACTGCTTCCCTTTTGCTTTTGTTTGGTCTTTTCTGTCTGTTTGATCATTTTAAGTCTCTTTTAGTTTTTTTTTCTGCGTAACGGTTTCGCTATAATGCATTGAATTACGTTCTCCTTTACTTAACAAACTGCAACTTCTCTCCTTATCATTACAGAAGGAAAAGGCAAGATCTCTATGGAAGATTTTCCATAATAACACCGGGCCATTATTCCTGACGTGATTACTTATGTTCTTCTTTACTTGCTGATACCTATTTCAAATGGAATTGTGACATATATAAGTACAGACCTTCTCGTTTCAGTTATGCGATCTTCTTTTGGACTTATCGACCAATTCAACGGTTCTCTTGGCGTAATCACATGCCAGAGGTATTTGATAGTTCCTTGACAGTTCGGATTTTGTGATGTCTAAAAAAATCCACTGGCATATTGCAAATTAATTTTCGGAATAAATCCATTTCTTAGTTATTGTCGTGGATAATTTCCTGTGAGTACATTGTGCTAACCAGAAATTTAAAAATGTTATGTCTTGTTCGATTTGGAAAAAGGAAAAATAGTTAAACACGAACTGAAAAGTTGTCAAGAAAATACCTTTAAATATGAAACATAAAGTTCGAGAATCAAATGCAACTCTGTTTTTGGAAATCTTTTCTTGTTAGAGATCAAAAGGAAAAAGTTAAATTTAATAACTGCTTCAATTTAATGATCCCTTGTTATTTTTTATTTTCGTTGTAAAGTTTATCATGCGTGCCTAATATTGTAAGCTTGAATTCTTGTTTTCAATACGATTTTACCAGTGGGCATATTTCCAGTTTTTTTCACTTTAGCGAAAAAGGAGAAGATTTAAGAAGATGTTTGGCAAGAAATAATTTTTTAAAGAACGGCTTAATGAAAATTGCAGATTGAGCATTTATGGTTCAATGTCGTGATCGGTTGAGTCAATTATGAAGTACGGGAAAAAGGTAATTTGTAAACTTTTAACACGATATTGGCAATATGCCCTTGCTTTGAAATAATTTGTTTTGTAAGTCAAATTCCGACTGGCAGCTGTTTTCAAAAGAATGAGAAGCCGCGCCAGTAAAAATGTTGCTATATGAAACGAGTGCAGTAGAAAACGACGAGTGTAGAATTCTGTCGTGCCGAGGAGACTTGAGTTGGGGTATCAACTGCTGAATTGGAGAGATTTGTTCTCGGTGAGTTTTCAACTTGGCTTAAGAAGGTAAATTTTCAAAACCTACGATTCAAGTAGCAGTAAGTTAGTAGCCGGTAAAAAGATCTTCAAAGCAAGAAAAACTTGGCTCTTGAAATCTTTGCAAGTTCTTACCCACTGATTTATTAGTTTCGAATGATTTACAGACTATTTTTTCAGTGATATATGTTGCCCTGATCTGGGATATCTGGAGTATGTTTTGAATTTTAAAAATCCCCTAGTAAAAAGTACACAGGAAATCTTTATTAGAGTCTTTGAAGTGCCAAAGGAACGCAGTTCTTGTAATTCAGCAATTCGTAGACACATAAGCCAGGGCTTTGAGTATCCATCGTGTTTCTTTCATTGAATCTTGAGAGGTAGATTTTTAGAGGACGATTCTTCCAGAAAAAAAAAAGCAACAACCCACAAACACTACCAGTAGGTTGTCGTTTCCACTTCAAATAAATGGTAGATTCTTAATTGCTGATAGATGCAATTAAAGATAAAGAAAGATCCGGCTTAGAAACGTGATTATCTTTATAGCAGCAGTAACTAAATCTTACTAGGGGAGAGAAAAAGGGGAAAAAGAAGAAGAAGAAGGCGAAGGAGGAGAAGCGTAGAGACGTCACTTGACAAAGTAAGAGAGAATTTGTTTGCTCGTTGTTTCGAAAGAGACCTTCGGGGAGGAAAATGCTTCCATTAGGCTCACTTATCAAACCGAAAATTTCATTAGGAGATACATTTAGACGGAGGAGGTCTTGTTAATAATATTTGAAAAGCTTATACGTTACTTACAAAGTGATTCGTAAAATTAAGAATTAAAATGGAAACGTTCATTAGCTGGTGTGATTACATGTTCAAGTGTCGGATTCAGTGATATCAGTTAAGCAATATCGATCTGCTCTTTCACAATTGAGCGCATCAATCGGAATTGCATGGAAACAAACCAAAAACATTTGTATGTAATCTACTCCCGAAGATCTCCGTTAAACTTTCATTCGATAGTATATTCAAGAACTATTTCCTTGGTTACATACTGATTTCGCCAAAATGCTGATCATTTGGCTCAGTACAGTGACAGAACATTAAATTCGTACGCTTTTGGTAGCAACAGATAAGAGAAATTGCAAACACCATTCAGGTAGCTCAGTAAAGGACAAAAACTCTGAAATGGCTTTCGGCTATTTTCTGAGTTAAATATGAATGAGCGCCCATCATTTTTGGAGTGTTGTTTTGTATTAAAAGTTTACCCTGGCAAGTGTCACTCAATACTGAGACTAAACCGTACGTAATTACATAAAAAAATCCTAGTATGAGTAAAAAGCTGTTGTAAAGGGAAACATATCTAATTGAAAAGAATTGAATACAAAAAGTCGACAAGGCTTGCTTGATATAGAACCATATTCTCACTAAAAACATAGGTAGCAGATAACCCGGTGCAATATAGAGAGTTTAAAATTGATCAAAGCAGAACGGTCAAGGACAAATCATTTCTCTGAACTGAATTAAACCCCTACATAAAATTCATCCTGCAGTCTGAGAGAGAGATAATAATTACAATGAGGAACGCCTCTGTAAATATCAAGCGGAAACTGTCAAAATAGTTATTAAGATGAACAAGCTAAAGGATGTTAAAATTGGATCCACACTAGACGATTAAAAAACAGCATCACTTTGCAAAATATTTAATGGAAAATTTACGCGAAATGCTAGCAGGGAAGGAAACGGATATCTTCCATTCCGGTAGTATAGATTAAAAAAAAACAAGTAATACTAATGAAAATGACGAAAAGTGGGCTCCAATATCCGGACTAACAGGTGTTTATGAGGACTGTTTATACATCCATGTGCTGGAAAACAAACTTGTATTTTCAATCTTACCACTGATTGCAGTCAAGCACAGTTCAGGTTTGCTTGGTTGACTTTTGACAGCTATTTCTGTGAGCTAGTGAAAATCAGTTACGGTAAGTGTGCTGTTAGTTCGCTTATTTCAATTATAAAAGCGATAAAAATAGAATTATTCCTAGTATTGCAAGGCTAAATTCAACAGAAATGAATGAAAAATCAAATCCTAAACTAAATGTCATTAAAGCGCGACTAAAAAACTGCCTTAACTGACTGGAACACTGTTTAAGTTATTCACTTAGT